GCACCTGGCAGAGCATGGGAAGCTGAAAAGTCCCTGACTAGAGTGAGCACTACTTAGCAACAACTGAAACATCAGTGTGTTATCAACATTATTCTGGTACTAAATCCAAAACACAGCACTATGCCTGCTACTAGGAAGGAAATTAACTCTATCCCAGCTGAAACCAGGACATAAATAAAAACAAACAACAAAAAAACAACCACAAAACCAAACCCAATTAAAAAAACCCAAACAAACAAAACAAAACAAAAAAACCCAAAACCAAAACCCTAGTATTGGATTAAGGTCTTCAGCTTTGGAAGAGTCAGAAAGTGTATCTCGCCCTGCATGAACAGGAAATCTATGGGAATGCTGAGCCCAAAAGAATAAACAGCATCAGCCTACAGCAAATGAGGCTCAAATCTTAGCGAGCTCAAAATTAAAAGTTGGTTAAAAAGAAGAACAGAAAAAGGAGTTTGTGTCACATGCTTATTATGCACTAACATATAATTACTCATCTTGTGTTTCAGTACAGTATTATTTGTAATTATTAAGTAATCTTATTACATAATAATAAGTAGTGCAGTTTTCAGTCTTTACCAGTAGTTCATCATACCTGACTTCATTTTTTCTCAGCTGTTCCCAGACGAGAGAGGTAAGTTCTTTTGTGATATGTGGCAAATATGGGTCCATGGAACCAGATGTATCAATCAAAACACAGACATTTGCTTCTAAAATGGTACCAAATAATCTCCTGCTTCCTGGGCCAGAACATTAAAACTAATTAAGTGGCATTACACAGGCTTATTTTATTGAACATATTATTTTATTGAGCATACTGTAAAATCTTCAGTCTTTAGGGGTTATTCTGAGCACATTTCTACATAATAAATTCTAATCTGTGTGGAAACGAGGTAGTTCAAAGGTTAATAATAGAAAAGTCTTCTGCCATTTCAAATTTAGCACTGTCAAGCATTAATTACTAGCCAATTGGAGCAACTTGCATTTAAAAATTTGTAGCAGAAAATTAAACTGTTTCCCAACAAAGGGATCAAAATACTTTTCATCAGCAGTAATGCTGAACTAAGTAGGGCACCTTCTTAGCAAAAGAAACAGAAGAGCTAATATTGCTTATATATGTTATTGTATATATTCTGTTGACAGAAAGCTTCTGACACCAGGAATCTTGTATTCATTAATACAACATACAAAAAGGAAAAACTTACATCACAGCCCTAATTATTTCACAGCAAGCTAGATGTTTATCAGCTACACAGATGCTGAATTCTCTTGTATTCTTATTTTGTTGTCGTAAAAATATTTTTTAAAATTTCAGTGAAATGCAAAAGGGATGACCTTTACTCATATTTGAGGTTCAGATTTATGTTCAGATTTGTTCTATTGGAAATAGCAGACAGAAGATTTTATGCATGTTTAAGTTGTGCTATATAGAGAAACAGATGCACAACAATACCTGACAGAAGCCACTGTATTCTTTGTATATAGCGCTGCAACACTTTCTCCAGTTGTTCAGTATAGAATTCCAGTTCTTTAGATTGAAACTGCAGATGTTTCACAACCCCCTGGAAAAATTCAGTTTGTACAAGAGCATCTTACTTCAGGAGATCTGAGCTCAGCTGCCATATATGCAATGTCTGCCTTAGAAATCAGGGAGATTGGGGGTATGGTCTTTACCTCTATGAAATAGTGCAAGAAAGTTTTTGTGACTCTTGTTGCTACTAAATAACTGTTTTACCCAAATTAGGAAAGCCTAGTTCTCAAGTCAGCCAGTTGTGCTGGGCAACAAAATTATATAATTTGACTGGACAGGTGCATCTGTGGCATTATTTCTGACAGTTTTATAGATACAATAGAGCAGTAATACCCTGGACTTAACTTTCTGTGCTACTCTCCAGTCATTACACAAACTGGAACAATCAAGATCCAACATTTTCCCAGTTTCGACTCACACGTGATTTTTAAAAGCTTTACCCAAAATTTTAAAATTATTTTTCACACTGTATGAGCAGAGGAGATGCCATACATTCTATAGATCCCATGCAGTTTGCACTTCAAACATACTAAATATTTTTTGTGGCAAATAAAAGACCTTCTCTAGCTTTCTGACAGAAGGGTGATTTAGAAAGAAGAACAGGGAATAGCGGAGGGAACATCACATGACCAAGCCACAAATATTGATCAACATGCATTGTCTTAAACAAATGCAAAGCCTTTCAGTGATGTAGGTATATGATGTCTGCAAAAGCTTACATTGATTTCTACACTAGGGAAGATAGTACAGTATTTTGCTGATACTTTCTTGTGCAGAGACTCCACAGTTTTCTTTTGGTGAGTGCAGCCTGGACCAAACATCAGCCTGGGCAATTCCAGTTTAAGCTTTTTAATACTGTACTTGGTCAGCCACTTGTAAAACAAACAAATGGAGCAATTGGTTATTAGTCCATGTTAGAACAGTTTAAGTAATAATACGTTGTACAGAATCACAATTAACATGTTCACATTAATTCATATGGATAATTCTAAAATGGCAATTTATTAGTAAGGAGAAAAATACCTCTTTGCTTGAACAGATTTCCTCTTTTTTTGGCAATGTAACAGAGGGAACAGACTTTCTTACACACATCATCTTTGGATAGTTTTGGTACACTGTACCTAGTTAAAAAAATGAACAAAGTAATATTGGGAGCCCTAGGTTTAAATCATAGCCCTTTTGAATCACATATGATGGTTGATTAAAAAAAAACCAAACAAACAAAACCCCTCCAAAACTCACAGACTAGCATTTCATACACAATTCCACATTTGAAAAAAAAAAGTAAAGTTTCTATATATCAAAGTACCTAAAAAATAACTTTTTAAAAAAATTGTCACCTTCAAAAAATTCCAAACCCAATCTTCTGTAATCATCTAAACCATAACAGCATTTTTCCTTAGAGCATCTTTGACCAAAAGATCCCAAAGGACTTTACAAAAAAACCAAAACACCCAACAAAACACCCCAAAAAACCAAAACAAAGAGACCCAACTCCCCCCTGCCAAATCAAGCATCAAACAAAAAAAACCCACCACTATTTGATATGTGAAATTCACTTCCACTCACTATTTAAAGCACACTGATTATCAGTGACTTAATATCCTAACAGTTTTATAATAAAAAAGCTGATAATAAAAAAGCTTCACCCATCATATCCTGGTAACACGTACCCACATTTCTTCCTTTATCAGTATAAAATACTGACACAGAAACCTCTGGCTGCTTCCTTGGTTTATGCTTTCTTTTATTCTCAGTCTGAGGCCATTCTTTTATTGTTTGTGCTACAAATAATAAAAAAAATTATGTTGACTTACTTCAGCTAGATAAAACTCTTACATGCAACCCTGTTCTTCAGTTCATAATTTCCTGTTACCACAATTATAAATACTTAATTTTCTTAGATATTGGCTAATAAAAATCCACATTATGGAACTGCTTATGCTACTTCCATAGAAATGGAACCAAAACCTTTACAGGTTTTATAAATTACCATCAGGAAGAATGTCACAGGCATAATTTGGAATGATTAGAGGTTTACAATTAGCATAGTATTTGTTGGAAAAGGCAGCGAACATTGCACAAAGCACCTCGTATGCAAATATGAATCCAGATTTCTAAACACTGCTACGTATCAACAATCTCATTTCAATAAATTAGTAGATTTCAAGACTCAAATTTAATGAAAAAAAATTTTGCAGATGTTAGCAAAGATGCAAAGAAAAAACAAAGGAAAATTACAAAAACGGAAGAGAAAGGAATTGGACTTTAAGGGACCAACAGTGACTGGAAGCAATTTAAGAGCTGTTTCATACACCAGGAGCAGTTGCAAGAGTCAGCACTTCAGACAACCTGACATTTGTGGGTTTTTTCCTTCATTACTGGATCATAAATAAATCAAGTAGAACAGAGTATTAATTACAATGAGATCTAAGAGTGTTAGCAGAAATATATATATTGAACTAATAACATAATAAATTTCTGAATCGTTGAGCCTTTGGGGAAAAAAAAAAAGAAGAGTATGAATTGAAAACCAAGAGAAGGAGGTTCTAACTATGGCTTCAGGCATGGGACAAAGCAGGGCTCTGCTATCCACCACACATATTTGACATTCCCTGATATAGGATGGATATTCAATCATATGACCTGGAAATAGTTATACAGCTGTGCAGTGTTCCTTCTACTCACAACCTAAAAGAAAGCTAGACACATTACAGCTAAAACTCATACCAAAGTAATTTCAAAACAACTGCAATGTTTCCTATCAGTCTGATTAAAGATTAAAATTGCAAGTGTTTCTAAAACTTAAATTAAAGCTCTAATTTAATATTTTCTTTTAACCCAAAGAAACTGAACACAAAAAGCCACTAATCCATACAGACCTGGTGGAATTTCTGCTTTGGCACTAGTAGGACGCCATGCCAGTACTCTTATGGAAGCATTTCTCTCTGCACCATGGTTGTCTTTAACATACTATAAGCACATTAAAAAAGAAAAAACCAAACCCTTAAAAGTATTTCAGTTGGATCATAACTGCATTATTAAAAAATAGAATTATCCTTCATTATTCTCTAATTCCTGTTCCACTCTGGCTCTTCTAACAAGCCAGCAGATGGCCATGATGACTTGTTAATTTGCAATTTCTTGCTAGGTTAAGTAACTCTAATTGCTGTGTTTTAATTATCTTGCCAATCTCATCTGCTGCCATAAAACTAAAGACTAACATCTACAGGCAGATGAGTTTGGACCATTTTTGCCACTTGAAGGAGCAGTCTAGTATGGTAATGGCACTGTTTTATAGAATACAGTATATAGTATTTTCCTCAGTTTTATTGAATATTGGAAACCTAGTGCTGACAACAGTAATTTTTCCTTTAGGTATGGCTCAACCCTCTAGGGACTGAGCAGTCTGCTAACCAACATCAACACCGGTTTAACCCTACTGTAGGATCAGACTTTTGCTGTGACACAGAGCCTTCAAGTAACTGACATCTAATTCAACATACAACTCTATTATAAATATCACCAAATATCTACAGACAAACCTGTATCAGTTTTCTATAAGTTTAATCCCTATAAAATGATGCTACGTAGTCATATCTCGGAGTGATTACTTTTCTCCTGCATTTGTGAAGAGGTGCAGAGGATATATTGGTTTTGATAAAATAGCATGGAAGACCTGTTTGGGCTTACCTACGAAGATCTTTGCAACATGAACACACCTACACTTAAGAGTGCCATTCCCATTTCAAAGATGAGACCTGAAAATTCCAGGTCAAAAGTTAACTACACCCCTTGCAATAAGCAGTTCTGTATCTAGTCATTTATACACCAAAGTGGTAAGCACTGGCCATTTATACATATTACAGATTTGCACACCCACTCAAACCAGATGCACACGCGGTCAAAATTAACATGAAAAACATTAACAAAATCCCAAAGGACTCAGTAGTGTAACTCCATGGAAATAAGCACAGCAGGCAGGAAACAAATCCTGAATCCTATTTCTTGTTTTATGTTGGCTCTCTGTGTGGCCAAAGACATGCTACTCAGCTGCAGCTGTCTCATCTGTATATGAGCAGAATACCATAAAATTCAGTACTTGCTAAAAGGACTTATAAAATACATCTAACTTGGTAAAGCACATTTCTGCTTTGCCTTTGCTTTCATTAAACACTAATTTTTTAAGGTTAGAGGGGGGATTATTTAGGTAATTTTAGACAATACAATGTGATTCTATTGTAATTAATTAGTTAGCAGGAGTTAGTAAGATGTACTCTTTTGTTTATGTAGCATTTTGAATGTAAATTAAAATGTAAATTCAGAGTATTATCACAGTGCTCTTTTACTTCCTTCAAATTTTCAGCCTGGGCACTTCTCTCACAAAGAGCAGCATCTGATAGTTGGGCAGGATCTCTAATTAAAACACACAGCATCTTAAAAATGGAACCATTTCAAACCATTCTAGCCAGACTCAGAGCTGTGGGTTTAGGAGATGACAACTTCTGTGGCCTTCTTTTCTCTTTCTTCATAAGCACGTTTGGGTCTCTTTCTGGTATAAATGGATTAACAGACTGATTTACTGAACGTTGCTTCAAGGATTCCACTAGGAATGCACACTGAAATGGAAGTTCACATCATTTAGTAATTCATATATATGAAATTTAAGTGACATTTCAAAGACAGGTGTTATATATTTATTACTTCAATAATAAATACAAAACTTATTAATCTAGTAATGCTTAACACCCCTAACTGAATAGAAACCCCTTTGTGCTGTGCTTGTTCAAACACATAGGAGGGAAATCCTCCTTGCTCTGAGCAAACATTCTAAAAGAAAAGGCAACAGTACATGTACCAAGACCAGAACGAATTGGAAGATGATGAACCAAGCATATGCAACTATTAAATGACAACAAAATGTTTGAAGATCCCATTGAATATCCACCAACTCTTCTTTCTAAAAATACTTTTGTGACTCAGACTTGCATGCAACAAGGTGCTCAGACCTCTGGACATATATCTGGGCGGTTCCATGGTGTAATGGTTAGCACTCTGGACTCTGAACCCAGCGATCCGAGTTCATATCTCGGTGGAACCTGAGCCTTTACCCAGACCGGTCATCCCCAGGGTACTCAGGCCCCTGAGCTTAGAGGATAGGGATGGGGAGCAGAATGGAGCCCTCATAGTCCAGGAGGAAGCAGTTAATGACCTGCTATGCCACCTGGACGTTCACAAGTCTAAGGGGCCAGATGGGATCCACCCGAGGTTACTGAGGAGGTTACTGAGGGAGCTGGCGGAGGAGCTCGCCAAGCCACTTTCCATCATCTATCAGCAGTTAGGACGAGAGGAAATGGGCTCAAGCTGCGCCAGGGGAGGTTTAGGCTGGAAATTAGGAAAAATTTCTTTACGGAAAGGGTGGTCAAGCATTGGAACAGGCTGCCCAGAGAGGTGGTGGAGTCACCATCCCTGGAAGTGTTCAAAAAACGGGTAAATGTGGCACTTTGGGATATGGTTTAGTCTAGTCTACCCTTGATTGGTTTAGGTGGGCTTGGTAGTGTAGGTTAATGGTTGGACTGGATGATCTTAAAGGTCTTTTCCAACCTAGACGATTCTATGATTCTATCTCACTGCATATATATTTCTAATCACACTTTTGTAAGAAGCAACATAGCCAGCCTGGCAGTACGGTTTTTGCCTCAGTCACTTTGTCAGGTATCTTTGGAAAAAGTCACGTGCATGTAATAAGGATGTAGAACTTGACCATATCTCTCCATAAGTACACTTCCAAAAAGAACTGGTTTAGAATTGAACAAATGTGCCAATGACAACCCCTCCCTCCACTGTGACTTATAGGAACATAATATATAGTATTTGTTACATAGCATATATACTTTTTAAATATACTTATTTTTATATCTATAACAAACAATTAATTCTACTTGAGAAGAATTCATCATAGGATTGGCAACAAAAAGGAGAATCACTTCAATTGTAAACTCCTAGTATATCATAAGGAATCATGGCCACTCCAACACCAATCACTACAGTGCTATTGCACAACTGCTTTCTAGTCCATATTTACTCTGCGGTAACTGTTCTCACACTCTAG